ATCTACTTTAAAAGAGTATAGATGCGATCTAGGGATAGAGAGAGAGATAATGTTTAATACAGGTATTCTATCCATGTCTCCAATGGGATAATAAATTTCATTTATGATTCATACGTAACGGCCGAAGAAATTCGAATTCTCTCAGGTCGCTCACGCGTCCATTTATCTGCCGTTGTGTGAGTGCGCGAAGAGTATTTAAGACCTGAGAAATCGGATCGACATAAACGGTGAAGCGGTATATCGGAGACGGTATACGGCTAAGAAACGTAATGGATTGAAGGACAAAGTAGATGTTGCTCAATTGACAAAGCGATCAATTGCTAGTAAGAAGTTCGACCGATCTACAAGCTCGCGCCACGCCGCCGTCCCTTCGATTCCGTTTCCGCTCCTCCTCACGGTGTAATCCGACGGTCACATAAAGTGCACTTACAGGAGAGGAGCGCTCTTAGTCGGCGCATTTAAGATAGATTATTCCACTGAAATTCCAGCACAGGAGATCCCGCCGCGTTATTTATTTCGCGTGCCTGTTCCGCCTGAAATTCCAGCAGATCCTCGTCTTATCTTATTTATGTATTAAGGCGACTATAATTAAGGCACACAATTACCGACGACGCCGGGGAGAGTTATTAAGAAAGTAGATGTTCAACCGTCTCCCTGAAACAAATGAAGGGAATCGCTCATAATTGCATTCCGATGCAACCGCCTACGGTGTTCCTGCACCAAGCTCAGCCTCTCGCGAGTCTGTAATTGGCTCAGCGCGATGCGCTTTTCTACCTCTATTTTAATAACGCATTACGTAAGCACGCGTCGTCTAATTTTCCGATTCGAAAATAACTATCCGCAAAGTAAAACGTGTCGGCAAACATTTACGCCGAAATGCCGAAGTATCGCCGCAGGAAATTCACACGCCATTTTATCGCGTTTCCCCCTCCTCTCCCATTTCCCGCGTTACTACTCGTTTAAAAGCCGAAACGTATCGTCAAGCGGTCAACGATTGCCCGCACATTTCGACAAAAACCACCCTCGCCCGAAATTACAGCCGTGAAGTCAGTCACACAGGAAGATCACTTTATAGACACAAACGCACATTCACACATATATTAGTTCTCATACAATTAACGATCGGCGCGAAGCTGGAAACTCACGTCGATGAATCATTTCGATTCAAATTTTACGGGGCATATAGCATGTGCGCACACGAGACAAAGAAAGAGAAAGAGAGAAAAAGAAGAGAGAGAGAGAGAGAGAGAGAGAGAGAGAGAGAGAGAGAGAGAGAGAGCAAGAGGCCCCGTGCGTTTATTCAAAGACGGGCATTTTCTGTCGAAAAGTTAATTGCACCTATTTCCGCTCACCGTTGCTTTTATTTTTCCTTGCCCGCTCTCGTGGCGTAACAAACGCCTATACAATTCTCGCAGCTTTCCCGCCTGAAACGCGCTGCGCGATGTTTCGGGACGAAGTAAGGATGAGAGTGAGGGAGGCAGCCGTTTCACCCCATCTCCGCTGCGCGTTTCTCCGCGAGTGTGAATGGAGCGAAAATAAAGAACGAGCACCGTAGAAAAATTTCGACGAATCGCGGAAACTCCGCGAAACTGCGCGCGGAAGGAACGAACATTCCTTTCGTCTCTCTCTCTCTCTCTCTCTCTCTCTCTCTCTCTCTCTCTCTCTGTTCTTTTCTCTCTACTGCTTCCTCCTCGTGGCATTTTCGTCCGGGGGTTCGTTACGACACGCTTGCGAAGCAGGACCTTCCTTCGCGCATCTTCTGCGAGCATTTACATAGACAGTCCACACTTTTTCTCCCCTCTGTTGCCGCATTGAAGCGTTTCACCTCTGAGTTTTCTCTACGCACTGCGTTAGACGGTCAGACCAAAAGGAAGGAAGAGGATGGGAAGGAAGCAGAGAAGCGAGAGAACACGGGAGTAAGTTTCTCGGTGCATCCAACGTGGTAATTGCGCCCACTCGCGGGAGATCGGCTGACGGCATTTTCATTAGCACGTAATCACGCAAAGTGAATGTTTTCGCGTCGAGATGATGGCAGGGAGAGCCACAATTGCGTACACTTTTTGTTCATCCCCGCTTCTTCACTTCGCAACAATCCTCGAAGTATATATCCTTTGATGCTGCGGTAGCGCGCGTAGAAAACGCCGTTCTCGCACGACGCAACCGAAAGGATGAGTTCACCATCCCCTTTCGCGGCGTGGAAGTCGTTACCTGTTCGTTGAATCGCTACAAGGGTAATAACGCACTTATTTGGAAGACGATTTGAACACACTTGTTTTGATAAAACGAGGAGCAACAAATGATCACGATTGCATTGATGTAATTATATTAATATAATGTAGTTTTAGCAAAAGAATTAACAATTTTGCATCAAAAGAATAGAATCGAGGTTCTGATATCCCATTAAGGTTTTTGAGAGAGCGTATTTGTCCCAATATATAAATAACTAGAGTATGATAGCTGACGTGTTTTGAATGCCAAGAAAGTCGTTTATTCAATTGAATAAGGTTAAATTTAATAAGATTATTTTTAATGGAGAGAGAAACGTATGTCTCGCGACATATCTCGTTGGTAACGAAAGGGTTAAGTCGATATATTGTTTTAATACCCGCTAAAAGTACTTTTTATTCTTCAGATAGTTCTTCCTCGTACATCAATACGGCTCGTGTCAAAACCGATTACTACACTGAGAGAAAAAAAAGTTGATCAAACTAAAATTATAATTATTTTTTACCCCAATTATACTTCTTGATTGTTCCAACAAGAAAATGATAGCGGTAACATGCACATAAACTTGTTATCACTAACATGTTATCAATAACATTACAGTAGAATTTAATAAGGAAAAAATACTTCTCTCTGCCACAACTTGTAGTGATTTTTATGTGATTGCAAGTACCAACCATTTTTTTCCCGGTGCACACGAGTCGGTAAGCGGTGGCTTGCAATTGTGACCATTTGACACATTCCGTCGGAAAAAATGTGTTCGAACGCAAATGCGCGCACATGTTCGCGATAGTGTTACCGTAACGGCGGATAACATTCGTTAAACGCGCAAAACAACGTGGACGGGCGGACGCGGGCGTCCACGGGCCTGTATCCTGCACGGTGTCGCGAAACTTTTACTTTGATGTCATTAGCGCGCGCGGCGGGGTCCGCAGCGCACAGTGTGTTCGTTTGAGGGGCGTTCGCGCTAACGAGGCAACTTTCTGAGCAAACCGGTGCGCGCGGATAATAAAACTCGATACTTTCAATTACCCGTACAATTAACGAGCCCGGGAGTTTCCCCCCCCCCTCTCTCTCTCTCTCTCTCTCTCTCTCTCTCTCTCTCTCTCTCTCTCTCTCTTTTTCACTGCTTTTTTTTTTATTAAGGCCAAACAGCCGACGTCGATTAACTACACAGTCCAATTACGCGGCCATGCCGATCGCGCGTCTAAGAAATTGGTGTTCGCTGTCCGAGCGACGCGACGCGCCCCGCGCTTGTTATCAAATAATTAGCGACTCCTCGCCCTCCTTCGCGGCTGGAGGGCCGATCTAATCGATCGTAAGAATTTCAATTAGCGCCAGGGAGCGAGAACCGCCTCGAACAGGCGGACGGCGGAAAAAAATTCCGCACTTTGCAGGGCAGGAGGAAGCGAAAAGGGCGGGGTCGCTCGCGATGAAAACGATCGTGCGCCGGTGGAAGGGTTCGAACAGTTTTCCCGGAAGGGACAGCGGGACGAAGGGTGGAGGAAGGGTGGGACGGACAGGGGGATGACGCGCGAGGAACGGCAAAAGGCATTACAGAAATTGAGAAAGTCGTCCGCCCGAAGGCAAAGGGTGCACGCTCGGTCATATCTAACGAGTCCGCCCATTATGACAATTGCATACTGCCGGCTCTATAAAGTTAAACAAAAAACGCGGGAAGGGCGGTTGACAATTAAACGACGCTCATCTCCTGTGCCTCGTTCTTTCTTCCTCTCGGTCCTCCTTTTTCGTGCAAAAAGAAGGGAGGAAAGAAAGAAAGAGAAGAAGGGAGAGAAAGAAGGGAGAGAAAGAAAGAAAGAGAAAGAAAGAGAGAGAGAAAGGGGGAAAAAGAGGCAAAGGACACGACAGCGCACCCGGTTGCAAGCGAGGGAGCTCGCGAATGAAATCGCCGCGTGCGCGACGCGTCAAAACTCTTTTGCAGTCGGCGCCGTACAAGCTCGGCACGATAAAAGTGCCTCCACCGCGCTATTAAACGAAGCTCATGCGTCGCCGTGATATTAAAGTGATATTAATGCCTTTTTCGCATTTGCATGCGGCTGACAGTAATAAATACGAGTCCATTATGCGTTTATGGAAATCGCGCGCGCGTTGCATACGCGATATGAAAGTGGAATAATTGGCTGCGTAACGGATTGTCAATCACTGTTTGAATATTACAACAATCGGCGGCGTGCGCGGATGCATTGATTTGCCTGTTCGGCGCAAGCAGCTTTGAACTCCAATATTTTCGCGCATGATGCGGATGCCGGCTAATAACGAGTATCGGCACGCGATAAATTGCATTGTTGCGAGTCTTTCAGTCGCCGATATGGGATATCGCCGTTTGCCGGTGTTTAACAAGCGCGTTTGCTTTATCGCCGTGATAATTATCCGCTTAAACCTGAGGGAGGGGGAGTCCCGCGAAGGTGGAAAAAAATATTAATTGATCGCGTGAATATATATAACGATGCGCCTCGCAAAGCACCAGCACGAATTCGTGTTGTTGTCTGCCGGGAGTATCTTGGACGATTTGAATTGTCAAATCGCGATAATCAGCAAAATGCAAACGACAATGTATCGACGCGCTGTGAGCTCGAGCACCGCGAATCATTAATCAGGGTTATACATCATAAATAATCTGTAACGCGTGAAGCCCGCGGCGTGGTGTGTGCGGCCCGAAAATATTACTTGAGAAGATTACTTCAGAAGTACATGTGGATTTATATTCAATATGAAAACTAGAAGAGACGAACAGAGTTCTGCGTTTTTGTTTGCAGAATGCGACTCCGTGTACGAGGACATAGACTGCCACGACGGATGCGTCCTAGCTAGCCCCGGATATCCCGGCCTGTATCCGCCGAACATCCGTTGCCGCTATCTGATCACGTCTGGCCTGCGGATCTCCATCGCCATCAACTTCACGGCGGTGCTTCTTCCTTACAAGTAAGTGCTAATGAGTGTCGCGAACGATGTCAGACTGCCGGACCCATCGCGGACAAAATCCCACCCCGTGGACGGTTCGCCATTGAGTTTCCCTATTTTTGCCGGATACCCATGGACATCCACTGCCGAGATGAGACTCGCGTTGCGCGAAACGTACACAGGAAAAGGGCATCCTTATTTAAATAAGGATGCCCTTATTCCTTTGTTTCTGATATGTCAATCTTCCAATGAGATTACGTAGCGCGAAACGAAAATAAATTGCAAGAATATATTTTGTACGATCCAACGAAAAGAAACTGTGTTCTTACTATTAAAAAAATCACTTTCACTAATGGAAAGCATAAAATTTTTCAGATATCCTTTCCTCTCGGTATATATTTTCCTCAAAATAAAATGGACTTGAAATATTGAGATGAAATTAATAACACAGATACACATATCAAATTGACGATAAGGTTATTTCAGAATGAACAGAAATGAACAAAAATACTGAACTAAAAATTCGATGTGTATATCTGTATTATTAATTTAATTTCAATATTTTAAGTCCATTTTATATTTTGAGGAAAATATATATCGAGAGGAAAGGATATCTGAAAAATGTTATGCTTTCCATTAGTGAAAGTGATTTTTGAAAAATGGAATGAAAATGTATTAAAACTTTATTGAGATTCAAGGCTTTATAAAATTCTCCTAACAAAATTATATACCATTGCTTATATATGATACAATAATTGTTAATTTGAGTATATTAATTTAAGTAGATAAGGCAAGCTGAAGCGTAAGACACATTTAAAAGCATCATCAATATTCTCTCAATCCAATATTCTGCATTTTCCATTAGTAGATTATCTTTGGATAATAAGAACAAAGGTTTTTCTTCGTTGAGTCGTACAAAATATATTCTTGCAAGCTTATCTTTGTATAACGCTATGTAGTCTCATCAAATATTTCCCAAATAAAAATGCTCCTCTTTTCTGCACACATTTCCGCTGCTCTCGATCCTTCCGTTGTTTAACAACAACGGCGAGACTTTCACTCGCACTGCGCATATAACATTCAATTGCGCGGCCCACGAAATAGCGTTGTACGAGAAAGGTAGATCGAGTGAACACATCTTAAACGAGTGCCTAAGGAAACAGCGGTTTTCCTTCGTATGCGATACGCGTCCGGCGCGCAATATCGGGACCATTTCAGGACTTTTTTCGCGTGTGCACGACGACGCGCGTCCATTTCTTTCGCCGGAGCCGTACCGCGAAAAACTGCTGGAATTCCACGCGCCCGTGTTACAGGCTGTGTGTGTTGTGTGTTGCGCGATAAATTAAAACCCCTCTCGGGAAGAGAAAAGGCGAGCGAAGAGGAGCGTCGCGAGGTGGTTCACTTCTCCGCCGAGCATCGGAAGACGTTCCGCAAACGGCGACTCGGCGTCTCGACGCGAAGTGGACGCGGGATACGATTCCTGGATAACGTCGGACAACGAGAACAAAAAGCGAGGCAGTAGTGAAATTTACGACGTTGATCGTTTCTGATGGGGACAATCTCGATTCAAGTGCCGCTCGTGAACTGCCAACAGTGCCTGTTCTCTCATGACAAAAGACAATGTTAATAACCGAATCAAGATGCACATTAATTGAGTAGGTGTTGGATTGGCTCGACATGTTACTACTGTTAAAACAGTCCACAAATTTCCTTCAACGAAATGACAGTAAAATGTACGACATTTATCGAGTTGAAATTTTCGCTTCACATTAACCCTGCAAATGTCATTGAATTTGCTGAATCAATATGAAGAGAGAATTTTGAAATACAGCACTATTTTCTGACTATTGTCACACTTTAACGCTACAAATGGCACTTTACTGCCATTTCCTCCACATTAAAGAAATTTAAAGTCAAGCATTTGAAAATTACTCGATACTCAATTATATCAGAATATATTCCATACTAACACATTAATTTTTATTAAATTACTTCATATTTGCACACATATTCTGTCTGCAGTTAAATAAGTTACACATTTAGTATATTGCTTATCGAAGTAAATAATAACAATTAAATGCAAATAGGATACGGAGATAATCGAATATTAAATAAGTCTGAAAGAGCTCCTTTTTAATAATAATTCAACATGGACAAAACGGCATTAAATAACTATTTGTAACATCAGAGTAGAACAACAATTCTCGTGAAAGTCACCAAAGTTCGAGAAGATTTCTAGGGATAATGAGAATCCCGATTCGAGTTGCTCAAGGATAGTTCGATTTCCTACACGCGTGCGAGTGCGATCGATAGAAGCGCGAAATAAATCGTTCTGCTTTCCGCGATCTCTTTGCCGGGACAGATCTCGGTTACGTCTTTGTGCTAATTTCAAAGCCCCCGCTTGTGGCTATTTCTTCCTTCGCTTGCCACCATCACCGGCTCGAATTACATTAGCGCGTTCCCGGGCAGAAATGAAAGAGCAGCCAGAGAAAGGGGAGAGAAAAAAACGAGATTTCAGCCCCCTTTGCAATCTTTAGCCCGGGTATTTTTAATAAAACTACCCGCTTAAACGCAACACGGCTTGCATAACCAGCGTGGAACTCTCTTTACGCCGTGTTAACTCCGCATGCATATAAATCATTTTCCGCTTTACCGAAAGATCCGCGGCCGTTTTCATGCGTAAACCGCGAAAAGCCACGCTTTTCTGGCACGCACGTCCGCGCACGTCCGCCAAAACTCCAGCCGCGTGATAACCAGCCAGACATTTGCGTCAAGAGAGAAATCGCACCAATAAGGATTTAACACGATCGAATGGCGGGCAAACGGGTTAGCGAGAATTACTGTCAAACGCAGCCGTGCGCGTATTAGCATACAAATGCGTCTCACAGCCAGCTGCGGAATTCGAATATGATAATTAAGTGACGTAAACGAAACGTACGAGAACGAACAGAGGAGGTGGATGGGGTTGACTTGATAATTCTCATTGACATTCCGCGCTCAACAGTCGCTCCAATCGGCTACCATTTCCTGAGGCTCGCCTAAACGCCACTGAGAACCGTCGACGACGACAGCTAACGTGTACATGTCTTAATGGTGGAGAGCGACGAATAAGGGAAAGCAATTCCAAGAGGGTGCTCTTGATTCTGCAGTTTCACACTCACGCTCATATATTCACACACACGTAGTACACGTGTGCGCGAATGCAAGAGGGTGTTCTCCACATGAAATCTGGTCTACACACAGAAATGTCGCGGGTCAATATGCATTCGCTTTGCCGAGAGGTAAGGTCGCATTTACGCGCGCTCCTACGTGCGTGTACAGAGGGGATGCGAGCGCGTATTTCGCTGCTTGATAATGCACCGCGTGTCTCGTTTTGCCGGATATGTCAACAACAACCCCGTCCTGGCCCACGTCTCTCCCTGTCTCTGAATCATCCGTAGTGCAATAAGAAAACATCCGTCCGTGAGCGATGCATTCCGAATTATTTACACTGTAATCTTTTTAAACGCATTACACCGTGACTCCTCTGAATTTACGCGCCAACAGTTGTGTATCATACTGCATCGTTAAAGAAATTAGATAAAGTAAGAAGAATAGAAAGAGAAGGAGGAATGAGAGAGAAACAGATGAGATCTGAACAATTAATGTCTCGTTATAAACGTATGATTCACCTGTGACTTCTGTTCAGGGAAAATGGTTTATGGTTTTTTTTCTTTCATATAAATTCTCTTCAATTTTACTGTGTTTCTAGTGCATGAATAGACTGTCTGTTTACCTTATTAAGCAACAGTAAATTTGGCAAATTTTTTAACAGCATATTTTAGTTTCTAAAAAGATATAAATAATATATATGAAATAAAAGAATGATCAATTACTGCAGAATGTTGATCTATTCCTTGGTTATAAAACTTTATAGCAATTTATATAAATATATATATATATATATATATATATATATATATATAAAATAGAGAATGTTCTCTATAAACTCCTAAACCCTTTGACCGATCTGGACCAAATTTTGCATAGTTACTACTCTCTAGGATCCTACGCAAAATATAGGCTACCATGAAACCTGGGAACACCCCACCTCCTGATTTCATCCCTTTGACACTTTGCGATAACCCGGGCAACACCGAGTAGAGAGTTTAAGCTAGTCTTTATTATAAAATTCTCTTCGTGTAATTTCGTAGACTGACGTGAAGTTTATTTGCAATGCGACATTGCAACTCTGTCACTTTTCATAAAGATCTTATTATCGAAATTACACATAGATCATTAAATTGTCGTTAGCGGAAGGAGGAAATTATTAAGTGGCAATTCGCTTGAAATATTAACGAAAGACCGAGGCGCGCTGTGCTCGCAGAGTAGAGTGGTCGAACTCTCGTCCGGAGAGATTTTGCACGACGCGAAAACGCGACAAAGGCGAAGAAACAGCTACGACATGTCGGCGCGTAGTAGAAGGCCGTGCGCTCTACAACGGCACTTGCTTTTTCACGGCTAGTGCAGTTGTTCCCCAAAGCCGAGCTGCTGGCTTTTATGCCGGCGGTCGCACGAAAGCCATTTCACACGGAGTCTCGCAGTCGCAAGCACACCGGGCGTTTCCGTTCTCTAAAGACAATCGTATTTTAAACCATCTCCGCTGACGCTCGCCGGCTCTATTCGCGAATATTGTATATGAGAGCGCGCGGTAATATTAAAATTGATGACCAGCTGATCGCGCATAGGCACCACGATTGCTTTTTTTTTAAACCCTTGCCAATTTCCTTCACAGCGACTGAGCGCTTTTACCAACGAGACAGGTAAATTTGCTTTAATAGTGCATAAAAATACACTTTATTAGTCTATTTGTGAAAATTGCATCCTTTGTATTTTATGAACATTTATGAGCATTTATGAGCTCATTTATGAGCATTTATGGGCATTATGAGCGCAGCAAACTTAATTAATAATCAATCAAATAGTTCTTTGTTCATTTACTGTTCTTTATTCTTTCAGTAAATGGATAAATGGGTAATTTT